AAAAAAAAAAAAAAAGGGAGAAAGCTAAAAGCAGAAGAGTTCTCAGAGTTTGTGATAGGCACAGAGATGGTCTCTTCCAAACAGCATGTGAGTCCCTGGTGGTGACCTGGGCTCCCAGTGGTGATGCTGGGGGTCAGACGGCTCAGCTATTCACAGGGAAGGTTACTCTCGGTCCGCCCTACTACGTGCTTACACAAACTACTACGACGCAACGCTCAGTGCAAAGCAGACGTGCTCCGTAGGTTTTCAGCTCTGTGACCTTTTGGAAGTAGATCTCCACACCAGTCGTCTGAGGCAGTTCTGGGTGGAGCTCAAACCACCAACCTTCTGGCTCGTAGGTGAGCATCGCTCAGAGACATGGTGGTTCCATCGGTCAGAACTGGCTACGGAGCAACTAATTATACCAACAAAGAGTCAAGAGGATTTGCGAGTAGCCTCACCACCTGCCGGAGCAAATCCCGGATGATGTTCGCCTCTGTTGACACACAATTCACTGCTCATTGGGCAGTTCACTCTCACAATGGAACACAGCAGCATGCTGGGAAACATGGTAGTGTGGACCAGTCTCTAACGTGGTGTGCTGAGCGGCCCAAGACTGAACGAAGGACCAGGACGATGGAATCGCAGAGACTAAACTCCAGTATGGACAAGTCTCACCTGCCGGGCAGAGGGGCCATGACCGAGGCACGGGGGAGATGGAGACACTCTATGCTGGGCCAGTGGTTACACAGGTGTGCAAGCTGGCCAAAAGCCATCAGGTTGCACACTGGCATTACAATGGATGCATTTGGTTGTATGGAAATGATCATTTTAAAAGCTGATTACAAACAAAATCTAAACTAAATCCACAGCCACTATGCTGATTCCGACTCAAAACAACCGACATAAGGTTTCTGAGTCTGTAAATTTTCACAGGAGCAGACAGCTTCATCTGGCTCTCACAGAGTGGTAGGTGGGTTTCAACCACTGGCATTGCGATTAGTAGCCCAACACCTACCCCACAGAGCCAAAATAAGAGAGGAAACAATCCAAGTGTCCACTGACAGGGGAGTAAACACAATGTGACCTACCCACACAATGGTGTATTCAACCAAAATTAATCAAGTCCACTGCCCTGGAGTCGATTCTGACTCACAGCAAACCTACAGATAAAGCAGAGCAGTCCAGAGGCTCCCAAGGCTGTGAAACAGAAGCAGACTGCCTCATCTTGCTCCGGAGGAGCAGCCGGTGGGTTGGAACCTCCAACTTTTCAGTCAGCAGTCTTAATTAGTCTTAAGTAGTCAGCACCACTTAACCACGGTCCTGCTACATGACACAGCATGATGAACCCTGTAAGCATTAGGCTGAGCCATGGTCCCACTACATGTCACAGCATGATAAACCCTGTAAGCATTAGGCTGAGCCATGGTCC